AAACTTTACCAGTGCTTTTTCTCAGGGATCACAAGGTTTAGAGCTGGAAGACACCTTAGAAATCATTTAGTCTAGTCTACTTCATTTCTTGAATGTAGAAACTGGGAGACCCAGAGAGGGAAATTGACTGCCTGAGGTCACACAGTAAGTAGCAGGGCTGAGATTCAAACCTAGGTCTTCTGACTTCTCAAATCCCATGTGCTTTATACTATTCCACCCCATCAGTTCACATGATTCAGACTTTCAAATCGGATGCACAGGTCTAGGGAAAACCCAGGACTCAGCTTGTATGGGGGCTAACTTTCTGGTGAATTCTGTACTGTAGTTTCTGAGGAACCTGGGTGTGAAAGAGATTTGGAGGAATCATTGGGTCATCAAGTCCAACTTCTTGTCTTATAGATAAGGAAACTGAGGTGCAAAAAGATTAAATGGCTTGGCCAGGATCCACACAACTGGGAAGTACCCAGGCAGGATTTAAACCCCTACGTTGTATTGTATTGTCTGTCTCTCTCTGTCTCTCTGTCTCTCTCTGTCTCGCTCTCTCTCCCAAGAGGTTAAACTAAGCTAGAACTGCCCTCTGGGGAGAGGTTGGGCAAAACTTGTTTGGGTCTCTTCCCAGACTTGGCTAAGTTGGAGGTCTGAGCTTAATAAGGGTGAAGCCTGTGTCCTACTGCCCAGCACCCATTGTCGGCACCCCCAGGTGTGGAAGGCTGCTCATTAACACAGTCTCAGGCCCTAGTGACTCTCCGTCTATGGTGCACCCACATGGGCCCCGGGAACAAAGGCCCATGTGTTACTCCTGCTTCCGTAACCATGCCACCTGCCCTGCCCTGCCCTCCACCTCCCTGCTGGAGTTGCCGTTCGGCGTACTCTCCTCTCTTTTCCTTTGTTCAAACTGTCATGGGGAACACAGGACTTGGCCCTTTCCTGCTGGGGGCCTCTTCTTCAGGGTGGCATCCTGGACCTGGGCCAGAGTTGAGTGGTAGCATTGAAGTTGGGAGTTGGAGATGAGGGGAGGCCCCAGGTAGAAACATGGGCATTCTTGGCCCTTCCTTCTTTACCTTTCCATTAAGAAGTCAACCTTGGCAGCAAACAGAAGGTTTCCTTGGTACAGTGGGTGGGAGGCAGTCCTGGCATGCCTTTACCAGCAGCAAGGGCCCCAGATAACCTTGGCTATTCTGCCCCAGTGTCAGGGTGGGGTCTCTTGAGAGCTGACTGATATTGGGGTTTCCTTTCCTGCTGTCTCCCTCTCTTATATGGAGGTCTGATTTTTTTCCCCTCTCTGCCTAAGTCCTCATGCCTCAGGGTTGTGTGAGGATGGCTTAGGGTTCCCAAAGACTGTGCCAATGTATTAGGTCTTGCCAAGTTGGAAAGTACAGTTTCCAGTGCAAGTCAATGATAGATTAAAAGGACACCCCCTCAAAATTCAAAGGGTCGGTCACTAGCTGATGAATTTATAGCGCCATGGTACCACACACACTGTCTACTAAGGTAAGAAAAGTTTGTAATCTGTCAGAATCCATGGAAAAAAGAACCCGTGCTGATAAAATCATGAGCCCTTGAAGAAAATAATTTATAAAGTCAGCAGATACATAAAATAAGGCCTGCAATCTTAAAATCATGTAATCAGAATATTTGTATTAAAAACTCTTATTTATGTACATATTAACAAGACAGTAGCAGCATCAACTTGTTTTATTCCCTTTAGACCTTGGGAAAGCCATTTAATCTTGGTCTGTTTTAGTTTCCTTTGCTGTAAAATGGAGGTTATCATAGCACCTACTTCCCAGGGTTGTGAGGATCAAATGAGATAATTTGTAAAGTACTTAGCACAGTGCCTGGCACCTAGTAGACACTAAATAAATCCTTCCTTCCTCCCTTCCTTCTCCCTTCCCTCCTTCCTTCCTTCCTCCCTTCCTTCTCCCTTCCCTCCTTCCTTCCTTCCTTCCTCCCTCCCTTCCTCCCTTTCTTCCTCCCTTCCTCCCTCTCTCCCTCCCTCCCTCCCTTCCTCCCTTCCTTCCTTCCTTCCTTCCTCTCCTCCTCCCTTCCTCCTTTCTTCCTTTTCTTCCCTCCTTCCCTCTCTCCCTCATACTCAGAAGTTTTGCTGATGCTTTTTAAGAAAGCAATGAAAAAAAAGTCATCTAGATACATGGGTTTTTGGTTGTTGCTTTAGCTTTTACAAGAGGATGTTCATTAAAAAGATACAACAAACATGGAAATACAAAACATGCCCACAAACCAGGGGCACACTCTCCCCGAAACTACCTTAGTCTTTGTGGAGATTGAGTTCAAACTTAAAGCAATTTGCTACAAAGCATTTGCCTCATCGAGTTCACTTGTGAATGTAGCGTAGCCAGTTGAAAGAGTAGATCCCCTGCTTACTGCTGGTTAGTTGACTTCTGGGCGGGGTGTCACTTGCTTCTCAGGGCTGTGCTGGTGGACTGGCCTTGGATGACCGCAAGCCGTGGGTTGACTCCACCTTCTACATCTTTGGTGGCTCTCCTGAACGCTCAGTTCACAAGGTCTAGTATGCCTTCATTTTAGGTAGAAAAGGATAGACACAAATAGAAACAGAAACAACATCAGGGCCATGGGCTAGTGGCTGGCTCCATGTTGACCCAGACCTTGTACAGTCTTGACTTCATACAAACTCTGGATGAGAAAGGACCTGAGATCTTCCACTCCTCCATCCCCTGCTCAGAGGCCCATAGCAGTTTGCCTTCCTCACTGGACACCTGGAAAGTAAAAAGGGCATATGTTTTTTTCCAATTTTGCTTTTCCTGCTTTACATCACTTCATTTAAACCTTTTTATGTCTCTTTTTCTTCCTCCTGTAGCACCCCTTCAGGGGTTACCTCCCCTCCCAAATTGGCACTTGCAGGTTGGGACCCCAGGAAGTGACTACTACCATGATTTCAAAGTAACTCTGTGGGTCTGTACTCTCTGAAACTATAGGCACAAGCCTCCCTCCATCAGTATATTTCCCTTTCAGAGTCAGCCAGTAGTTATTGTTGGCTCAAAACAAGGAAGTAAGAAGAGTAGCTACAAAACAGGGGGCATCCTCTCCCATAAATACTTAGAGTGTCAGTGGGAACATTGGATGTGCCCATGGAGATAGAGATACAGATAAAGAGGAACACATGTAGGGAATACATGTGACCAAGGCATCTCACACCTCTGGCACCAAAGGACTCCAGTGGCCCTCTCTCTTCTTGTGGTGTCCTCATGCAGCTCCACCCAAGGGCTTAGATTGAACAGGTTGCTCAGCTGGGCTCCCTAGACCTATTTCTTTACAACTCAGATCTAGACTGTCAGGGATAATTTTTTTTTTTTTTTTTTTGGCTAGGCAATGGGGGTTAAGTGACTTGCTCACGATCACACAGCTAGTAAGTGTTATGTGTCTGAGGCCACATTTGAACTCAGGTCTTCCTGACTCCAAGGCCAGTGTTCTGTCCACTGAGCCACCTAGCTGCCCCCCCCCGTCAGGGATAATTCTTGAATCCATAGCTAGTTCTCTTCTGTTGCCAAGGATCATACTTATTTACGCTATCTTTCCCCTCAATTCTCTTTTAAGGGTACAGTGTCTTCACATTATTAAGTGGCTCTGCTGCAAGTTGCCATGCCACTGTGGAGAGGACAAGAAAGAAATCCCTTGGCCCAGCCTTCCCCCATTCCCTCCCCACCACACCCCCCACAAAGAGAGAAGTTCTTCCATAGCTGGCTCTTTTCTCTGCTTCTAGGAGCCCCAAACTCCTTAGAGTCTTGACTATTTCAACTATTTCCACAGCTATAAGATTTGTTTCTTAAAGGCTACCAGGGAAATGACCAGTCTTAGGCCAATCAAAGGCAAGGTGCCTCTTTTTTTTTTTTTAAAGGCAGTTGGGGTTAAGTGACTTGCCCAAGGTCACACAGCAAGTAAGTGTCAAGTGTTTGGTCTGAGACCGGATTTGAACTCAGGTCCTCCTGACTTCAGGGCCAGTACTCTATCCACTGCACCACCTATCTGTCCCCAAGCTGCATCTTAATTCCATCAAGTTGTCTCTGAAGACCTTCACTCCTCCTGAGGGGTGAAGATAAACTTTTTTTTTTTTTTGCAGTGCATTTGAAATCTTAATACCTTATTGTTTCTGTTACCTCCCTCTTATCTTTTATGATTACATCCACTGGCCTGGGTCAGAAGTGTCTGATCAACTCCTTCCCCACCACATGCATTTATTTTAATTGTCCATAATACTCCATTATGCTGTGTCGTATATTGTGTTTGTGCTTGATTGATCTCCCGTAAATATCATTCTGATCATGTTGATGCTTTGTAACCTTCCTTAGATCCTTACTGCTTAGAGAATAAAGGCTATACTCTATGGATTATTTTTAAGCCCCTCCACAGTCTCGATTTCCAGCCACAGTTCTACTCCAGCCAGACTGAGCTATCTGCCCCTCAAACAAGCCTTATATTCTCAAGCCTTATACTTTTTAGACAATACCTCATGTTTTCTCCCTCCTAATGATACTCCTGCTTATCAACGTCTGATTCATCATTAAAGGCTAAACTCAGATCACATATCTTCCCTGACCATCCTAGCTATTGAGATCTTCCTTCTACCTTTAAATCTGTGATCTTGTGATCTTTCCTAATTCTGGCCTCCTGACAGCCTTGTCTACACCACTCATCTGGCAACTATCATAGCCTGCCTTTTGTTATTACTTCACTATTTTATGTGTGTATACAAGTAGGGTTTGCCAGACCAACACTGTAAATTTCTTGAGGGCAAGAACTCTATCAGTCCCTTTCAGGGGGCTGGTTTCATGCTTGGCCCTTAGTAGGTAATTTTTGTATCACCCTCAAACATTAATTTAAGGCCTGCAATATGCTTAGGTCTCTACATCTCTGCCCTCCAGCATCATGTGTGAGGATAAGGAAAGGATTCATGTGTTGGCTGGAGGGGTAGTGATCCTCCAATGACACCTTCTCTTTCCTTCTCCTTCCATTTTCACCCCCAGCTACAGGTACAAGAGCCACCATCATCTTTACCAAGGAGCCTTCCTCCCAGGATGCACTGCAGGGGCGCCGGGCACTACTGCGTTGTGAGGTGGAGTCCCCGGGCCATGTGCACATTCACTGGCTGCTCAATGGGGTCCCCATCCAAGACTCAGAACGACGCTTTACCAAGGGGAACAACCTGAGCTTTGCGGCTGTGGACCGACTGCAGGATGCGGGCGCCTTTCAGTGTGTGGCTCGGAATAATGTCACGGGTGAAGAGGCCCACAGCGCCAGTGCCTCCTTCAACATCAAATGTGAGTGAGTGAGTGAGTGCTGGGCAAGGCTACCCTGGAGTGCTTTTCTTCCACTTCCCCTGGCTGCTGACTCCCTGGAAAGTCCTGTACCTCAGCCGCCAGGCTCAGGAGTGCTTGGACAAAAAGGCCTCTGATCAGTTTCATTCTCTACTGGTGCTGCCATGTATCTAAGAGTCAAATGGCCTCTCCCCTTTGCTGCAAAATGTCTTTTTTTTTTTTAAAGCTTAACCATCTATCTTTCCCTGGCCTGTCTGCTAAGTGACCTTCTGAACAGGAAGGGCAGTGGGAGGCAGCTTTTTAAAATACCAGACACGAGTTACTGGGAGCAGCTTTGAACACTCAGAATCCACAACTTCTCCATGCCTGCCTCGCCTCTACTGAGTTTTCTGTCCACTTCTTAGCAGGAAATGTCTTATGTTCTTTGGCTTCTGGAAGCCATGGTTCTCTTCTTTGCTTTTCTTTCATTCCCCTTCCCCTGCTGTCTGCTCTCTTCTCCCTCTTCGTCCCCCTGTGGACTATTAGAAGTTTTGATCTGGGCTCCCAGGTCACAATCTGGTCTCTGTGCTTCAGGGATTGAGACCGGGCCTGTCATCCTAAAGCATCCGGCCTCACTGGCAGAGATTCAGCCCCAGACACTGGTCACTCTGCGTTGTCACATTGATGGACATCCCCGGTAAGGACCCTGAAACTATGCTTTTAAATTTTGGTCAAACTTACATTTCTTTTGTGCATTGTGTGTGTGTGTGTGTGAGAGAGAGAGAGAGAGAGAGAGAGAGAGAGAGAGAGAGAGAGAGAGAGAGGGGGAGAGAGAGAGAAGAGAAAGAAAAAGGAGAGAAAAGCATGGGAGAGAGAGAGAAAGTCAAGATACTTGATGTACTTGGAGGCAGGAGAAACATGGTTTCTAATCCTGCTTCTGACACTTGGAGTCTTTGTGGGACTGTGGGCTCACTTAACCTGAGCCTCAGTTCTGTCTATAAAATGGGGAAAATATTACCTGTAATACTTACTCATGAGGATTGTTGGGAGGATCAGATTAGATGATGTGTCCTGGTTTATAGAGAGCTTCCTAAATGTCAATTATCATCATCATCATCATCATCGGTAGTAGTAATCATAGCATTAATGAAGAAAAAAACAACTTGTTTTATCTTCTGGTCATCCTCAGTTTTTCTTGTCCTTTCATCCTTTCACTTATACTGCCTGAAAGGATGCCTTCCCCATCATTGTGCCCTCTTTTACTATATGCCATCTGTAGTGCTCATCACTGCCATCCTGAATTCTCCTATTCTTTGGCACTTCAAGTGGACCAGTCACTTTTGGCTCAAAAGGTGCCCCTTCCTTGATCCCGTTGTCCAAGGTGGGAGAATGGATTAGCCGTTCCTAGCTCCTGACCATCTGTGTTCCACAGCCCAACGTACCAGTGGTTCCGGGATAGGAATCCCCTCTCTGACAGTCAGGGCAACTACTCGGTCAGCAGCAAAGAGAGAAACTTGACCCTGCGTCGTGCCAGCCCTGAGCACAGTGGTGTTTACAGCTGTTGCGCCCACAATTCCTTTGGCCACATCTGCAGCAACCAGAACATCACCCTAAGCATTGCTGGTATTCCTGGGGTCTGTGGCGGGGGGCGGATCAGAGATAGCCAGCATGGCATCAAGGGAGGGGGCACTTTGGCTCTGCTGATAGGCAGATGGGTTCTGCACTTCTTTCCCCTGTTCCCTCATGCCATTATTCTTTTCCTTCTGCCCCTAGATGAGAGCTTTGCACGTCCGTTGGTGGTACCCCAGGACCAGGTGGTGGGGAAGAGTGAGGATGCTATGTTCCATTGCCAGTTCACGGCTCAGCCACCTCCCACCCTGCAGTGGTTCTTTGAGGACGACTCCCCCATCACCAACCGTAGTCGGTAAGCCTTCCCTATCTATTCTGTAGACGGTCCAGCACCTAATGTCAGGATAGACTAGAGGATCTGCCTCCTTCCTTCCTCACCTAGTGCACACAGAAGGACCAGTGCACATGATATCAAGGGCGCAAGACTTAGCCAAAGGGAGAAGCCCTAGAATGACAGGCTGATACCTGGAAATGGTCTGTGTGTAAGAATAGGTGCATTGGGGGGGTATTGGACAGCCCAGGGCCCTTCCAACAACAGGATGCAGAACAATTAGTATGCCCATCCTCCATCTGGAAGCAAAGTACCCTTTAGTGCTGTCTAGCTGGCCACAACCTCCGCCTCAGTTGGAGTAGTGCTTTAGATAGAGTGCTAGTTAGGGAGACCTAAGTTCAAATCTCACACCAGATACTTACTAACTTTATGATTAACTCCCTCTCCCCTCACTCCCAGGCAAGTTGTTTAGCCTCCTTCACCCTCAGTTTCTTTATCTGTAAAATGGGGGTCATAATAGTACCTCCTTCCCAGGGCTGTTGTGAGAATCAGTTGAGATAACTTATGTAAAACATTTGTGAACCTTTAATTTCTATATAAATGTTGGTTATTATTAGTTCTAGTCTGGACCTAGCCAGAAATGAGAAAGAAACCTTTCCCCCCACCCCTCAAAGTCCTTCCTAGCCTCTTTCCCAGAGGGGAGCTCTGTTCTAGCCCAGACCCTCAAAAATACAAAATGCCCCCAAGCAGTATTGGTGTGATGGAAAGAGTTCTGAACTTGGAACCAGGAGACAACTGCCTTTGAACCTTAGCTGGAACATTTAAGATCATAGAGTTAGAGCTCACAAGGATCTCACAGATCATGTCATCCAATCCTTCATTTTGCAGGTGAGGAAACTGAGGCCCATAGAGGTTAAGTGACTTGCTCAAGGTCACACAGGGAGTTAGTGGCAGAGCCTGGGATTCAAACCCAGGTCCTCTAACTTTCCAATCTTTAGAATGCATTACTAAGAGGCACTAAAGAATTCCCTTTTTCTTTAAGAAAAGGACAGATCTACATCTGCGATGATTTAAGTAGAGGCCTTGCTGAAAGCCAAGAGCTGTGAGCCCTATGGTCTCTAAAGGTCTTTAAGCACCCTGGGAATTCTGATAGAAAACAAACCCTGGTGATTTGTAGAAATGTGGTTTATACTCCCACTGTAGCAGCTGAGATGGTAATAACCCTCCAAGAGTCTTTGAGATGTTTCCTTTTCCCTTCAACCCCTTTACTTACCAGCTGTGGATCCTGAGCAAGTCAGGCTACATACTCTGAGTATGTTTCTTCATTTGTAAGATGGAGATAATAAATTTTGCATTCCCTACCTTACAGGGTAGTTCTAAGGAATGTGGTTTACATTTTAAGGTATAAGAAGCTATATTCTTTTTTTTGGTTGCGGGGGGGAATGACTTGCCTGGAAGCGTAGGTGATAGATGTACCTGGATTCTTTGATTAGGACTTCTCCAAAAGCTGAATGGAAATTCTTCCTTTCATCTTTTTTCATTCTTTGTACCTGTATCACCAGCATCTAGCACAAAACCTGACATATAGTAGATGCTTAATAAAATATTTGTGGATTGATTAGTTGAACCTGGGCAGGAAAGGAAGCAGGGCCTGCTGAATGGTTTCTTGTCTTGACCACTACAGGCCTTCTCCCTAAATATACTTTTAACCTCCAGGGAGCTTTGGGGTGGCTGGTGAGTGAGTAAAAGATGCTAGGGCGCTGCTTCTCCCCAGTTATGAGAAGTGTCAATGTCACTCTCCCTCCCTCACTTCATTCCCCATCTCCGCTGGCTCCAAACCCTTCCCCCTTCTGGGAGATGAGCAGGGCTGTGTTCTGTATGCATTCTGCCCTTAATGCCTGGCTCATCACTGAACGGTTCTTTCTCTTCCCCAGGATTCCTCACCTCCGGCGGGCCACAGTATTTTTCAACGGCTCTTTGTTGCTGACGCAGGTCCGACCACGTAATGCTGGGGTATACCGATGTGTGGGCCGTGGCCAGAGGGGTCCACCTGTTGTCCTAGAGGCCACTCTTCACCTAGAAGGTCAGTGCAGGCCTGAGCCCAAGGTTCTATGGCTGGGCCATCCCGCCCCTTCATGAGGAAAAAATGGGCTTTATGTCATGCTCAGACATGAGGTTCAGAGACAGGATTATAGTTCTAGGCAGGAGGCTAAGAGGAGTTGATTGAGGGATCATAGAGGTCAAAGGGGTTTGGAGCATGAGAATGGTGGGGGGTGGGTCATGACTACCTTGATCCCCCACAAATAATAGAATTATCTCCCCCACAGAGATTGAAGACATGCCACCTTTCCAGCCTCGAGTGTTCACAGTGGGCAGAGAGGAGCGGGTTGCCTGCATTGCTCCCCAGGGTGTGCCGGAGCCCCACGTGTGGTGGGAGCGGGCTGGGACCCGGGTGCCCCACCATGGCAAGGTCTACCAAGAAGGTTATGTGCTGGTCTTTGCCAATACAACCGAGAGTGATGCTGGCACCTATACCTGCTATGCAGCCAACCAGGCTGGCCAGCGGCATCAGGAGGTCAACATCACTGTGGCCAGTGAGCAAACCTTCATGAAGGGGATCGGGGGTAGGGGGAAATCGTTACCTCTCTCTCTTGCTCCCAAGGCACTTGTTTGAAGGCCTGGCTTTTTTTTTTTTTTTTAAACAAGGTCACTCTACTGCTCAATGAGGGAAATCATTTGTGTTAGGACTGGATCCAGGATTTCATTAGCATAGAGAGCTCCCTTTGAGGTAACACCCTCTACCCTTGCAAAGTAGTAACTGTTGTGCAACCTTACAGTCTTAAGAGTTGCCTGGAACACCAAGAGGTTAAGTGACTTCCCCTTAATCAGAGGAGGGATTTGAACCCAGGTTGTCCTGAGGGGCTAGCTCTCTAACTATATATGCATTTGACAAAACGTGAAACAAATAGTAATACAAATGGTACATTCATGACTGACTGAATGACTGAATCCAAAGAATGTTGACTAATAGATTAATGTAAGTCTGGAAGGGAGAACTGTGGTTTGTCTTCATTGAAGTAATATCGAGGACATTCTTGATTAGCTTGGTAGATGACAGAGAACCTGGGAGGGATAGCTAATATTTGCATAACAATTAGAATCAAAAAGATCTGGACAGGCTTTATTTAAAAAAAAAAGATAACTGAGAAGATGGCATTTTGTAAGGATAAATTTAAGGTTAAAAAAACAAAACAAAACAAAAACAAACCAAGAAACAAAACCCTCCCACAACAGTGGCATCAATACAAGATGAGAGTGTTGTGGTTAGACTGAGGTACATAAAGATGGATCATGAAGAGTTGCCTATTTTGAGTTAATCAAAGAATCCATAATGGGGTAGGGTAGAAAGGTGAGGATTAATGTTTTAATATTTCCCATTTCTACTTAGAATAATTTGTGACTGTGGTCCACAGATAAATTAATTGTGCCAAAAAGGCTCTTTATTGAAGAAAAATATCAGCACACTTCTGATTAATGTACTGATGTTACCTTTCGGTAAAACAGAATTTCTACTCACCCACACTCTTGGCTTTACTTTTCCTTTTTAATTTGTAAAACCCTAGTCTTCATAGGGAAACATTTTCAAAACTGCACAGAAAGAGTGAAACAATGTTTAAACAGTGTCTTCCTTAACCACTCTTTCTGGACATAAATCAACATTGATTAAACTTCTTTTATGTGGTGGGCACTGTTTTAGCCTCTTTTTTTGGGGGGGTGGCTAGGCAGTGGGGTTAAGTGACTTACCCAGGGTCACACAGCTAGTAAGTGTTACCTGTCTGAAGCTGGATTTGAACTCAAGTCCTCCTGGCTCCAGGGCTAGTGTTCTATCCATTGCCCCAACTAGCTGCCTCCTGGCCTCTGTATCTTGTTAATTGCCATCTAGGTGGTGCAGTAGTCTGGAGTTAGGAAAGCTCATTCTTGAGTTCAAATCCAGTCTCAGACACATATTAGCTGTATGACCCAAGTCACTGTTTGCCTCAGTTTCCTCATCTGTCAAATGAGCTGGAGAAGGAAATGGCAAACCACTCCAGTATCTCTGCCAAGAAAACCCCAAATAAGGTTACACAGTCAGAGACAACGGATAAATGACTGATCTTAATTCAACCTTAAAGAGAACAGAATAAGATTCAGTTGAAATCGAAGTTTCTTTTTTTACTATACTAACTATATTAAGACAACCTTACCAATTTTCCGTAGGGCCCCGAAGCATCTGAATGTTATAATTTATGATATTTACCTACATATCAGGCTATAGTCAAATATGGTTAAATGAGGTAGTAATTGTAAAGTGCTTAGCTCATTGTCTGGCATATAGTAAGTACTATATAAATGTAAATATTATGTTGTTGTTATTATTAATATGTGGGACCTTGCTTTCTTCAAGCCTGCCTTAAAAACCCAAAGTACCTAAGGAACTATATAGACTCTTTTAGGATATTTCTTTAAATACTGAGATTTAAGTCCTAGATACTTAAAGAAAGAGATGGTATGCTTTTCCCTTGCTGAAATTCTGTCATTATCATTGTTTGGAGTGGAAGATGTAGTCCCCTTCCTCAAGGAATCTAGAGCGCTTGTACAGGGTTTTATAGATGACACAAACCAGTCAAGTAACTAACCGGCATGTTAGTCCATCAGCATTGATTAAGCACCTACTGTGTATGTGCTGGGCATACAAAAAAGGATAACAAATGGTTCCTGCCCTCTGGGAGCTCCCCGTCTAGTGGGGGAGACAACAGGCAAACAACTGCGTACGAACAAGCCCTATATAGGATGAATTGACGAGTAGTCTCTGGAGGGAGGCACTACTAAGATTTAGGAGGACCAGAAAAGGCTTCTGGTAGAAGGCGGGGCTTAAAGGGAGTCAGGAGGTGGAGATGAGGAGGAAGAGCATTCTAGGCATGGGCAGACAGACAAGTGAAAATGCTCAAAGCTGGAAGGTGGAGCGTCTTGTTCCAGGAAGAGCAAGGAGTCCAGTGTCCCTGGATCACAGTGTGTGTGGAGGGGAGTGAGGTGTAAGATGGCGCCCAAGGTGGAAAGGGACTGAGTTATGAAGGACTGAAGGACTTTAAAGGGATTTTATGTTTAAACCTAGAGTTAATAGGGAATCACTGGAGTTGATTGAATAGGGGAGTGAAATGAAATGGTCAGACCTGCAGTGTAGGAAGATCCTTTTGACAGTTGAGTGGAAGATGGACTGGAGTGAAGAGAGAGATCTGAGGCATTCAGCAGATTATTGGAATAGTTCAGTCGTGAGGTGATGAGGGCCCGCACCAGCGTGGTGGCAGTGCTAGCGGAGGGAAGAAGGAATGGATATACAAATGATGTTACAAGAGTAGAAGCCACACCTATCAGATTGGCCAACGTGACAAAACAGGAAAATGATAAATGTTGGAGAAGATGTGGAAAAATTGGAACACAATGCATTGTTGGTGGAGTTGTAAACTGATCCAACTATTTTGGAGAGCAATTTGGAACTATGCCCAAAGGGCTATAAAACTGTGTATACTCTTTGACTCAGCAATAGCACTTCTAGGGCTATATCCCAAAGAGATCATACAAATGGGAAAAGGACCCACATGTACAAAAATATTTATAGCAAGTCTTTCTGTGGTGGCAAAGAATTGGAAATCAAGGGGTTGGGAATTGGCTGAACAAGTTGTGGTATATGAATGTAATGGAATACTCTTGTGCTATAAGCAATGATGAGCAGGTGGGCTTCAGAGAAACCTGGAAAGGCATGTATGAACTGATGCTGAGTGAAATGAGCAGAACTGGGATAACGTTGTACACAGTAACAGCCACACTATGTGATGACTAACTTTGATAGACTTGACTTTTCTCAGCAATGCAAGGATCTAAGACATCTCCAAAAGTCTCAAGATGGAACATGCTATCCCCATCCAGAGAAAGAACTATGGAGTTTGAATGCAGATCGAAGCATGCTATTTACTCTTTTTTTTTCCTTCTGTTTTGTTTTGTTTCCTCTTTCTGATGGTTCCTCCTATTGGTTCTGATTCTTTCTTACAGCATGACTAATGTGAAAATAAAAAAAAAAAGTAGAAGCAACAGGACTTGGCAATTGATTGGATACAAGAGAGTGAAAGAGAGTGAGGAGATGAGATTCACACTTAGCTTGGGAGCCAGGCAACTGAGAGGATGGTGGTACCCTTGACATTAATAGGGAGGTTAGCAAGAGGGGAGTGTTTGATGGGGAAAGATGATGAGTTCAGTTTTGGACATGTTGAGTTTAAACTATCCATAAGACATCCAGTTCAAGATGTGAGACTAGAGGGTTGGCAGAGGGGTAAGGGCCGAACAAGCTAAGTCGGAGAATCATCTTCTTAGAGGTAATAATTGAAATCATAGGAGCTGATGAGATCAAGAGAAATAGTATAGAGAGACAAGGCCCAGGATAGAGTTTTGGGGGACCCTCATAGTTAGTAGTCATGACTTGGATGAAGATCCGTGAAAGAGACAAGGAAAAAGCAGTCAAGACAGATACAAGCCACAAACCAGGAGAGAGCAGATTCATGAAGACCTAGAGAAAAGAATGTGTCAGAGGCTCCAAGAGAGGTCAGGAAGGATGAGGATTAAGAGAAGGCCATTGGATTTGGCAAATTAGAGATCGTTGGTGACTTTGGAGAGAGCAGTTTCTGTGGAATGATGAGGTTGGAAGCCACACTGCAAAGAGTTAAGGGAGTGAGAGGAAGGAGGAAGAGGCATCTATTGTAGATGGCCTTCTCATGGAATTTAGCCATGAAAGGGAGTACAGGATGATAGCTCGCAGGGGATGGATGGGTCAAGTGTTTCCTCCCACATCTCCCAGCCTTCTTTACTCCTTACTGGTCTGTGCATTACTGCCAGATTTGATAAGGATAAGGGGGAGGGAATGGTTTTTATGGTCATTTCCAACTCTCACCTCCTAGGAATCTATTAAATATATTTTCTTAGATACTGTTCCAATTGTCACTTCTCTTCTCTAAAGATTTCAGTGGCTTCCCATTGTCTGTAGTGTAAAGTTGAAGCTTCCTTGTGTTGGTATGCAAGGCTTTTTATAATCTGGCTTCAGTTTACATTTTTAGCATTATCGTACTCCCCCTTTATATATTTCTATAAAGCCAAACCAGACTATACCATGTTGCTCACTTTTCCTGCTCCTGAGCATTTGAATGTACCAGTGCTTACACCTGAAATACTTTCTCCCTATTTATGCCTTTTGAACTCTGACCCTTATATCCTTTGAGATCTTCTTCAGAATTCCTCTTAACTTCTCTTGTGCCTTAGTTTCCTTGTTTGCAACTTGGAGAGGTTGAACTTAGAGCGGGCTGCTAAGAATCATTCTATTTCTGCGTTTGAGGTCTTGAATAAAGCCTTCTCAGATCCTCCCAAATCAAAATGGCCTCATAATAATTTATTATGTTTTTTGATTGTCCAGAACGTGTTGAGCACTGTGGAATATATGAGGGAAATTTTCAGAGTCTGATACTCCAGAGAGATTTAAAACATAGTCTGTGCCTGTTAAGTATTTACAGTCCAATTGGGGAGGCCTCTGTAAATGACATAATGTGCTTAAAATACAATACACGGTGCTGCATAAATGTCCCTGAGTGTCACTATCCCCTCTAGTACCAGGGAGAGGTAGGCTTTCCTGAGGTTTGGGCTCTTTATCCCTTTTGATCCCAGTAACTTCCTTCTATCTTCCCTTACAGCACTACCCAGATGGCTGAAAAAGCCCCAGGACAGCCAGCTAGAAGAAGGCAAGCCGGGTTACCTGCACTGCCTGAGTCAGGCCACACCTAAACCCACTGTCGTCTGGTACCGGAACCAGATGCTCATCTCTGAGGTGAGAGTGAGTAGGTTTCAAGGTAGGTGGGCTGGGACATCTCTTGCTCATCTCTAGAAAACCATTTGTTAGGCATCCCGAAGATGTTTCCCTAGTCCTTCCTGTCCTTTCCCCTTAGAGAACATGTCCTTGCCTCCTCTGCAGCATTTCTCCCCACCTTCTCAGGAGAGATTCCTTCTTCCCTCTGAAATCTGTGGTCCTTGGACTGAGGAGGGTTGTGGATAACTAGAGTACCATTCCATGCCCTTATCCCCATGCCCTCCTCCGCCCCTGGCCTTTGGAGTCTGAAGTTTGTGATAGATTTTGCCTCCTCCTGGGGAAAGAGAAACCTAGGAGTGGACAGAGGCTTTCATGGGATGGATTGTACTGCAGGATTCAAGGTTCGAGATTTCAGAGAATGGGACTCTTCGAATCAACAACGTGGAGGTTTATGACGGGAATTTGTACCGATGTGTCAGCAGCACCCCCGCAGGCAGCATTGAGGCCCAGGCCCGAGTCCAGGTCCTGGGTGAGTGAGACTTGTTGTCTTGACGATAAGCCAGTGATTTGGGGGGAATGAGAGGATTGTAAAATCCAGAACTGAAGGAAACACAGCAGCATAGCATCCCTTCTGCAGTGTCACTAGCAAGAGATTATCTTGCCTCTATGCAGTAAAGACCTCTCTAATGGGGAACTCACTATCCTCTGAAACGGCCTTTTCCATTTTTGGACAGCTGCAGTTGTTAGAAAGTTTTTTCTTTTAATCAAGCCCTAATTTGCCTATCTGTAACTTCCACCTACAGCTCCTAGTTCTATGCTCTGGGAACTGGCCTGCCCCACCCCATTAAGTCATCTCTTCCCCAGACTAAATATCCCCAGTTTCTGCATTTGATGTTCATGTATTCAGAACCCCCCCCGCCCCCAAATAGTAATATGATGGTTGTATAGGGCTTGGGTCCTAAACTGACTGTCCACACCCATCCCTCCTCTCCGTCTTGGACAGAGAAACTAAAGTTCACGCCGCCTCCCCAGCCTCAGCAGTGCATGGAGTTTGACAAAGAAGCTACAGTGTCATGCTCGGCCACGGGCCGGGAAAAGCCCACAATTCGATGGATGCGGGCAGGTGAGTGCCCCACAGTATTGGAGGACAACGCAAGACAGACTTACTATGTGCTTACTATACACCCAACCCTGTACTCAGTGCTGCGAGGCACCTGAAGAAATAATATCCTGATGTTATTTGACACTTTAAGGATTATGTGCCTGTGAGGTTGGCCCTACAGGTATTATTACCTCTTTTATAGATGGGGAAACTGAGATTCAGAGGAGAAAAGTGTTATATCTTCTAGTATATATCTGTCTGTCTGTCTGTCTGTCTATCTATCTATCTATCTAACCAGTAAGTGATAGAGCCAGGACTCAAAACCAGAATCACAGTTGGAAAGCCATCTAGTCTAACCCATATCTTAGAGTTATAGCCACAGCATCCCCAGCAAGGAGTCTTATCCAGTCTTTCCTCAAAAGGATAGGTCTTCAGAGGCAACTAGTTGGCACAGTGAATAGAGTGCTCACAGGATCTGGAATCCAGAAGACCTGAGTTCAAATCCAGACTAGCTATGTGACCCTTGGCAAATCATTTAACCTTTGTTTATCTCATTTCCTTATCTATAAAACTGGGATAATAATAGCCCTTATCTCCCAGGGTTGTTGTGAAGATAAAATGAAATAATATTTGTAAAATGCTTTTGCAAACCCTAAAATGTTATATAAATGCTAACTGTTGTTGTTATTATTGTTATTAATTACTATCGTTATTGTTATTATTACCCCTACTCAGGGAGAACCCACTCCTTTGGAAGGCAGCCATTTCCACTTTGGGAAGGGTCTTTCTAGGAAAGTCTCATTTTGTCTTGTTTACCTGTGGCAGAAATCTCCCCCTCTGCCATTTCTTTTTTCTTTTTCTTTTTCTTTTTTGGCTAGGCAGTGGGGTTAAGTGACTTGCCCAGGGTCACACAGCTAGTAAACGTTACGTGTCTGAGGCCGGATTTGAACTCAGGTCCTCCTGAATCCAGGGCCGGTGCTCTATCTATTGCGCCACCTAGCTGCCCCACCCCCAGCCATTTCTACTGGTCACATATAGTTCTGTCCTCTGGGCCCAATTGGAACAATTCTGATTTCTCTTCTTGACAGCCTTAGTCACAGACAGCTGAATCTTCCTTACTCCTGCTTCCCTACTCCATTTCTTCAACCATTCTTTGCTGTGATTCAGACTTTATTTGAAGTTCAGTGCTCTCTTCCCATACCTGCTAAGACATAGTCACTGTTTTCAAGTTTATAGTCTAGTTGGAAGGTACAGATATAAACACACAAAAATCAGACAACAACTTGAACAATAGTATTGCCAAGCAATCCCTGACTAATTAATAAGTGAGTGGGCCATAGATAGTAAGTTGTGTTTTTTTTTTAATTTATTGATGCATTTTTTTGACACTACAGACACTTCCCAATAAACCCCTTTACAAAGTACATTCCCTGAAAAGAGTTGATTCATGATTAACAGAAAGGAAGGATGTGGCCCTAACATTGACCATTGTTTTTGACCAGCATTTGACCAGCCTTTCCTTGTTGACTTTTTTTCATTGTTTTAATCATTAGGTATTTTGTTTCCTTGGGTTTTCTTTCTTTGTTCTGCTCTGCTTTGCTATACATTTTAAGGATGAGGGAGGAATCACTGAGGACTGTGATCGTGTAAGAGGGGAGGATGGGGGATTTACACTGGGCCTCCATGGATGGATAGGTTTGTGATTGGCAGAGAGGAAGGAGATGATGCTTCAGGAGCAGAAAGTCACACAAGTGAGGGAAGGTGTTTTCCAGCGAGGCTGGGCGCTGGAGGCAGTGAAGATAGGACTTAGTCTCTTGGGCTAACTTGTGGAGTGTTTTATAGGTGAGCCCCAAAAGAGACAGTTATAAAGGTACAGATTATTCCTGGCCTTGAAAAATAACAGCTTTCCACATCTTTACTGTTACTGCTTTCACACATGGAGGGCACTGCTGTGGGGATTGGGACTTGTTCAATTGTGTCCTACTCTTCGTGACCCCATTTGGGAATTTCTTTGCAAAGACACTGAAGTGGTTTGTCATTTCCTTCTCCAGCTCATTTTACAGATGAGGAAACTGAGGCAGATGGGGTTAACTGACTTACTCAGGGTCACATAGCTAGTAAGTGTCTGAGGCTGGATTTGAACTCAGGGAGATGAGTCTTCCTCATGTAGGCCCAGCGCTCCATCCACTATGTCACCTATCTCCCTGCTGAGTTTTAGTCTTAGGGATTTGCCACTAACTAGCTGTGACCTTAGGAGACCCTTCTTGGAATCTCCATTTCTACCTCTATAGAATGAGATTGGTTTGGATTGTGGAGTGATTCTGAGACCATTTCTTTTGATCTTCCATGTAGGGCTTTGAGCTAAGTTGTAGTATCCCCCTTTTCTGAATGAGCAATGGGCATGGATCCCCGTTTTGAGGCTTGGTGACATTAAATTACTTTGTCCAGGGATACCCAGCTAGTAAGTAATGGATGGAGCTGGAGCCCTGTTCCTACTGTGCTCCCTCCCCCTCTCCCAGGGTCAGGAGTTTGGACTTAATTTTGTAGACTGTGGGGGAAGCATTGGATGGCTTTTTGACCATGGTGGGTCAGCAGAAAGTGGACATTGTCACCCGTTTCCTGGGGATAAACCTGAGCCCAGGTGAGTGGAAGATTTCTTATGGGAGCTCATGTGAGGTAATGGATTTGGAGAGAGGAAGACCTAGGTTCCAGTAACACCTCAGACATTTATTAGCTGTGTGACCCTGGATAAATCATTTCACGTTTCTGAATCTCAGGATGATGGATGATAATAGCATCCTACCTTACAGGGTTGCTCTGAGGATCAGATAAGGTCATGCATGTAAAGTAGTTTGCAAGCCTCAGGGGATCTTAGGGAGATCTTAGGAGGACCTTAGAGTCTGGTCTGCTCCAATTCATTGGGGAATTAACTTACCCAAAGTCACATGAATATTAGGTAGCAGAGTCAAAAATTGACCTCAGGTCCTCTGACCTTAAATCCAGTGTCCTTTCCATGTTATCATACTATCTCTCAGACATAAATATCAACTCTTCTCTATGGCTGTGGCTTCAGGTGAGTCTAATGACTTCCCATCCCGGCCCATCAATTGCCTGTTCCTTTTTTCTAGATGGGAGCAGCCTCCCAGACAGTGTGACAGACAATGCAGGAACCCTGCACTTCTCCAGGGTAACCAGGAGCGACGCTGGCAACTATACCTGCATCGCCTCTAATGAGCCTCAAGGCCAGATCAGTGCCCACGTGCAGCTCACTGTGGCAGGTAGACGTCCAAGGACTGGGATGGGAGAGGGGTGGGAAGAGTTGGCTTCTGAAGGGAGGTTCTCTGATGTATGAACAGATAAGTCCGTCTAGCCCAGGCTCCCACCCATCCCTCCAGTGCTCTGAACCCTGCCTTTCCCCCCCATGCAGTTTTCATCACTTTCAAGCGAGAGCCTGAGCGTACAACAGTCTATCAGGGCCACACGGCTATGCTGCAGTGTGAGGCCCAAGGTGACCCTGACCCCCTCATCCAGTGGAAGGGCAAAGACAGAATCCTGGATCCTGCTCAGCTTGGACCCAGGTAGCTTCTTCATCCACTCCCCACTTTCTTCCCTGGCCCCAGGCCTGACTGTTAGTTCCCAGGCTCTTGGGAGTAAGAATGAGAGATGAATGGCCATAGGTATGTCTAAGATGGTGCTGGGATTTTTCTTCCCACAGGATGCATATCTTCTCAAATGGCTCCCTAGTCATCCATGATGTCACCTCAGAGGATTCAGGCCGCTATACCTGCATCGCTGGCAATAGCTGTAATATCAAGCACACAGAGGCTTCGCTCCATGTTGTGGGTATGGAGTGGGGTTACAGCAGGCTGAGAGGCCTCAGAGATGAGGACGATATCTTGTAGACACCAAGGATGGGATGCTGAGTAGAATGTAAGGTCCTTGAGGGCAGGTCCTGTCATAAGCATGTTATACATGCCTAATAAATGTCTCCCCTGTTGAATTGATATAGAGCAGCAGCTCATATGGGAACATGAGGCCACAACCCTGGAGCAGTAAAAGGATGCGTGGGGATTGGGTAGTGTTGGTGGTGGGTAAGATGTTTTGGTAAGAGGCATGGCAGTGGATGGGCCGTGGATACTCTATATAGCAAGATCCTTAACTTGAGGTCTTTGCACTTTGAAAAACATATCGTTTGAAAATTCTGTTTCAACATAATTGGTTTCCTTTGTTTTTAAAACAATTATTCTAAAAATGGATCCATAGGCTTCACCAGATTGCCAAAGCGGGGCCCGTGACACCAGAGTAAAACCCCTGCTCTTTAGCTTTCCTGGGCGACCTCCAACTGACCACCCATTTGTGCCCTTTCAGATAAGCCAGTACTGGATACCTCAGAGGGTCCTGGCAGCCCCCCGCCATATAAAATGATTCAGACCATTGGGCTGTCGGTGGGGGCTGCAGTGGCCTATATCATTGCTGTGCTGGGCCTCATGTTCTACTGCAAAAAGCGTTGCAAGGCCAAAAGGCTTCAGAAACAGCCAGAGGGTGAGGAGCCTGAGATGGAGTGCCTCAATGGTGAGCCTAGGGCCCATTGGACAGCAATGGTTGGGGGAGAGGGGGGGAGAGGTGTGGGGTGTATGGGTGTTGGGCGCCCTCATGGGGTGAGGACAGAGAAGGCAGTGGAGCCTACCTAGCTCTCAGACAGATTCCCCCTCTTCTCTGAGAGTCATGACCTAGCTAGTTCCCCAGGCCCTGAACCCAAAGCAGTTTTGATATAGAATTCCCCATGGAACCTCCCTGGACCTACTTTACCTGGGTCTGGTTATCTTTTTTGTAGTCACCTTCCTACATTCTTACATGCTCGTCTATGGATGTCAGTGCTTTTTTTGTATATGCTTTTCTTCCCTCATCAAGCTTGGAGTTCTCAAAAAGCAGATATAAGTGTGTCATATATAGAAATAGAAACTCCCTGAGGACAGAAACTCACAGGACTGTGACCTCCCTGAGGGCAGAGATTCAGCCTCCTTCATGGGACTGTAAACTTTCTGAGGGCAGGGAATCTGTCTTCTCATAGGACTGGAATCAGTGATGTGGCCATCCTCCATAGAGTTGAAGCTCCCTGAGGACAGGGCCTATGTCTTCTCTATAGGAGTGGAAACTCCCAGAGGATAGGGATTATGTCTTTATAATAGGATTAGACACTCTCTGAGAGCTCGATCATTGTCATAGGTCCGGGAGTTCCTGGAGTATAGAAATGAGTGAGTGACTATAAGAAAAAATACTTAATAAGCACTAATTGTATGCCAAGCACTGTGCTGAAGAAAATCCTTACCCTCCGGGAGCTTATATTATAAAGGGAGAGACAACATACAAGGGAGATTGGTGGCTAGAGAGGATTCTTAGATCCAGAAAATTAGAGGAAAGGTGAATGGGGCCATCAGGCAGTAGATTGAAACCCCCCCATCCAAGGGGCGGCTAGGCAGCACGGTGGATAGAGCACCAGTCCTGAAGTCAGGAAGACCTGAGTTCAAATCCGGCCTCAGACCAAACACTTGGCACTTACTAGCTGTGTGACCCTGGGCAAGTCATTTAACCCCAATTGTCTAAAAAAAGAAAAAAAAATCATAAATGAAACACCCCATCCAAGAATAACAGTAGGATTTATTTGATCAATGCTTCATGATTCCAAAACTGGAGAGAGGGAGGGGGGAAGAGAGATGGTGACTAGCAAGGCTGTGGAAGAGATGAGCCTGGAGTGAAGTAAAGCATAGTGCCCAGGCTCTTTCTAAAATAATGGTCTGGGAGAAGCAGTTGTCAGTCCAGGGAGCAAGGCTTCAGAGCAGAATTTTGTTCTGGCAAGGGATGGGGAATCCTGAGTGAGTGTTCCTCATCACCTGAGAACTCTCTGAGGGTAGAATGTCATTAGTTACATATCTCTATGTTTACCACTGACTCAGATGAGGTAGACACGTTCTTGGTTTCTATTTCCCTTGATACCCAGTGTCTGCTGCATTCATCAACTGGTGGACCCTCTTCAGTCTCACTGAACCCTTTTTGTGATGTTGGTGTTAAGAGGAGGCACTGACATCCACCTTGCTGGCTAACAGGGTTTATAATTGTCATTTCTCTTCAGAAGGTCGAGTATCAGGCAATGTGATCTGACCTGTGGTTTAGCCACTTCCACATAAACATGGTGCATTCTGTAAGCCCCTGGAAGGCACATGAATGCTGGCTGGCAGACCCAGTCATATGGCGAATAGTGGGTTGAGCTTAGTCAGTTTTGGCTGTTGCTTGAAACAACAGGAAAGAGGAGGAAGTGGATTGAGCTGTCTGGGTTCTTGAATCTCAGCTCACTCCTGTTCTCTGCAGGTGGACCCGTGCAGAATGGGCAGCCCACAGCAGAAATCCGAGAAGAAGTAGCTCTGACCAACCTGGGCTCTGGCTCTTCAGCCGCCAACAAGCGGCACAGTACCAGTGATAAGATGCATTTTCCCCGTGCCAACTTGCAGTCCATCACCACCCTGGGTTTGTTGCCTTGGACTAGCTGTGCTTCTGGTATTAGGTGTGGTAGAGCAGATAGGGCCTTAGATGTGGAATCACATTCAGAATCTGCCTCAGACACTAAATGGCTGTGTGATCCTGGGCAAGTCGCGTCCCCTCTTTAAAGGGGGCTTCAGTTTCCTAATCTGTAAAAGGAGGAGTTTGGACTTCATGGCCTCTAAGGTCCCTTCCAGCTTTGAATCTGGAATCTTAGGGTTCTTCTGCTGACACCAGCCTTTTCCCCCAGTTCTGTACCTGAAGGTCCCTCCTCAAATCGGCAGAGCTGTTTTAGTAATTGAGACTCAGAGTGGGATGGGAGGAGGAGTCATGTTTCCCCAAGGGTATGCTGGAGATATGGGATACCCAGTGTCACCACCCTGGGAATGGTAGAGACTGACCTGGCACTTTGCCTGTAGGGAAGAGCGAGTTTGGGGATGTGTTCTTGGCAAAGGCCCAAGGCCTGGAAGATGGGGTGGCCGAGACGCTGGTGCTGGTGAAGAGCCTTCAGAGCCGGGACGAACAGCTGCAGCTGAACTTCCGGCGAGAATTTGAGATGTTTGGCAAGCTGAGTCACGCCAACCTGGTGCGGCTGTTAGGCCTCTGCCGGGAGGCCGAGCCCCACTACATGATCCTGGAGTATGTGGACCTGGTACGATGCTGGGATGGGGACCTCGGACACAGGGATGAGGTTGAATGGGGCAGCAGGTACCAGGGGAGGACACCTTGGCCAAACCTGACTTGAGGGTCATCTGGAGTACTCTCCTCACCATTGCTGGGCACTGGTGATTCTTTGCTATTTATATTGTTATTAACCCAGGATTCACTTGAGGCCTCCTGCTCTAACACTGGGGGTTCTTAACCTTTTTTGTGGCATGGACCGCTCAGGCAGTCTGCTGAGACCTATGGACTCCTCAGAGTTGTGTTGTTAAATGTACAATATAAAATCCACAGGATTACAAAGTAAACCAAATGTATTAAAATATAGTTATCAAAATATTGTTTTAAAAAAACCTCAAATGTTCTTTGTGAACAGCCCACAGTTCTACATTCCTTCCTACTCACCCATTATTTAGTTCTTTGTTGTGATTATTTGGGTTTTTCTCCAAGCTCCTCTTTTTTTAATTTAATTTTTTTCAGTGAACAAAAATCTGTTTCTTTTCCCTTCCACCTTTTCCAAACAAAAAGAGAAAGAAAACCCCTTGTAACAGATATGTCAGACAAAACAAATTCCTGCATTTGACATGTTCAGAATATCTCTGTCTCATTCTGCTTCACCACAAGGCCAGGACTTCTTCCTCAAGGTGTCCCATCACCACTGTCAAAACCCAGTTTGCTGTTGTCTTTCAGTTGTCTGTCACCATTGATAATCCTCTCAGGCATCAGTTTCCCACTCCTCTTTGCCCAAGACTTATTGATTCTTCCACTATAATATAACAAGGGCTAATAATGGCAATGTTTTTATTAACTTGGCCTTGTAGTCAGAAATACCTGAGTTCGAAGCCTGCTTAGTCACTTATAAACTATGTGACCCTACCTCTATGAGCCTGTGGTTTTCCCATCTGTAAAATGGGTATAATAGCATCTACCTCGTAGGGTTGTTCTGCGAATCAAATCAAATGAGATCATATCCATACAGTGCTTTGTAAACCTAAAGTGGTATATAAATGCCTATTGTTGTCATTGTTTCTAAATCTTGCCTCAGACACATAACAGCTACTAGCTGTGTGACCCTGGACAAGTCACTTAACCCCATTGCCTAGCCAAAATAAAATAAAATAAAATAACATAAAATGTGACCCTTATTCTTCACGGACAAAGCCATTATCCTTCTATAGGTCCTAGCCATCTTAGGCATGGATTTATGTAACAGACATCTTTTTCTGCCACTAGCTTCTCCCTTATGCCAAGTCAGCTTGGTGGTTGTGGCTTCAATCAACCAATCAAATTTCCCCCAAGGATAATGAATATATTTCCTTCTTCTTCCATATCCTTTAATGTCCTATTTTCTATCCCCTTGAGAGATAGCGTGACATAGTGGATTAGGGAGCTTGCTTTGGGTCCAGCATTTAGGTCCTGCCCCTGGCCCAGGCTGCATGATCTTGGGCAAGTGACTTGATGTCAAATACTGCTATCAGGCCAGAACCAATTAAAATGTAATTGGGAAATATTTAACAAAATAAGAAAAAGTACAACATAGATGATGTTGGTATGTGGTTTTCTAAGTCAATATATGCCTGCTGGGAACCTTGTTGTGTCTCTCCCCCCGCCTTTCTTATTTGAGTTTGACACTGCAGCTGTAGGTAAGTCTCTAAGGCTCCAAGATGCAGGGAAGGTGCTGACCTGCATTGTAGAGGGAGCTCCTGGTGAAGGAACTCATTGGGAACTTCCAGCTCTTCTCCTTATCTATATCCGTCAATACTGGGTTTTCCCCTCGGAGAGTTTCAGGTCACTTTGGTAGATGTCTGGTGCATATGTGGTTCTCCAGTTTGAGAGGGTCTATCACCCTGGGGCTGAAGAAGCCCTGGTATCTCTTTTACTGTCTCTGTTTCTCCCTCAGGGGGACCTGAAACAGTTCCTGAGGATCTCCAAGAGCAAGGATGAGAAGCTGAAGCCACAGCCCCTCAGCACCAAACAGAAGGTGAAGGCGAGGGGGAGCGAATGTTCTAGGAAGGTTGGAGGCTTATTATGGGGGAGACTGGTAAAATCAATAGAACCAGCGATGAAGGGGTATGGTGGGAGATGTGCTCTTTAACTCCCTCTACTCCCTCCCTGCCCCTCTCCCCCAGGATTATGCCACAGGAGATTTGGGTGGAAGGAACTGGGGATGTTTGATCTGGAGAAAAGGAGACTTGGTTGGAGAGGAAGTGGGGCCCCTTGAAAGTGAAAGGTCATTCCTTATGAAAGCAGGATCAGATTGGTTCTGCTTGGCCCTAGAGAGCTGACCTAGGAACAATGGGTAGAAGTTTGCAAAGAAGCAAATTAAGGCTTGATGGTCAGGAAAAGTTAATTAACAATCAGCTCTCTAAAAACTGAGTAGGATATCTCAGTCATTAGAAAATTTCCAAGGGGCAGCTAGGTGGCCCAGTGGATAAAGCACCAGCCCTGAAGTCAGGAGGACCTGAGTTCAAATTTGACCTTAGACCAAACATTTGACACTTATTAGCTGTGTGATCCTGGGCAAGTCACTTAACCCCAATTGCCTAAAAAAAGGAAAAAAAAGAAAATTTCCAGCACTGGAGGTCTTTAAGGGGACAGCAATTGGATAGAGTATGAGGAGACCTGAGTTCAAATCCAGCCTCAGACATTTACTAGCTAAGTGACCTATTTGCCTCAGTTTCCTCATCTGTAAATGGGGGTAATAATAGCACCTACCTCTCAAGGTTGTTAAGGGGACCAAATGAGATAATAATTATAAAGGAATTACCACAGTTCCTGGCCCATAGTAAATACTATATAAATGTTAGCTGTAATTATTAGTTATTCAAGGGAAAACTAGATGATCAGCTGGTTATATTGTACAGTAGAAGGGATTCTTATTAAGGTGTGGGTGAACTCAGTGCCCTCTAGAGATCCCTTCCAATCAAGACTTGGTTTCCCAAATGAAATAATCCATGCAAAATATGTCATATAAATATAAATATCAGTGATTAGCATGATGTAGTGAATAGAGAGGTGACCTTGAAACTAGGAAGACTTGGATTGAAGTTTTATCTCTGGCACATACCGGCTGACTGAGCAAGTCATTTAACCTGTAAGTGTCCTAGAAAACTCTCTAAAGACCAAACATGCAGAGAAGGTGCAGACCTGTAGAAGGAACTTCCTTGACCGGCAAAATCACAGGGTTTATTATTATTAGAGGGGATTCCTGTTCAAGTGTGGCTGGAGTAGGTGACCTCTGAGGTCCCTTAAAGTCCTGAGAATCTGCAGTTCTGTGATACATACATTCTTCTAGGGACAGGAACAGCTATGTATCTTCCCAACCCAAAAGATCAAAGGTAACAAATACAACTCCCAGGGTAGGTGGCATTTTCTAGGCTTTTGTCACCTTAAATATTCCGTAGATGGTAGCAAGAAAAGGATGAGAAATCTGTAGTTTGTCTATACAGAGTCTTCGCCTCTTTTGTTTTGACTGTGGGCTTCCTAATGTTTTCTTTTCCTTTCCCCTCTTAATGGTTCCTGCGCTTGGTTATATGGCAACCCCTGGTCTAGGAGCCTTTCATGGGCTCCGTGGTCAAGGTTCTTTTTGAGTTCCAAAAACAGATTTCCAGACTCTTATCTCATACCTATAAGAACTTGAAGTGGACCTAAGAGACCATCCTTTTATAGAGGAAGAAACTGAGAACCAAAGTGACTTACCCTGAGTTCATGAAACAGCTGAGACTAGAACTCAAGTCTCTTGGCCCTAAATCCAGAGTTCTTTACTATGTGCTACATCTCCAGCTCTACCACAGCCCAGCTGTTTGAGTCTTATCTTTCTTCACAGTGGCTTGAGGGGTGAGGTGGGGGGCAGACAGGCTGAGAAGCAATGAACAGGTTAGGTAAAGGACTGTGTGACTCCTTGGCAAGTCACTTAATCTCTCTCAGCCTTAGTTTTCTCATCTGAAAAAGGGGGCTAATAGTACCCACTGCACAAGGTTGTTGCAAGGGTCAAATCATGTGAGATAATAGCTATAAAGTTCTTTATAAACCATAGCGTCTGCTCGTTTAGTTGGGAGACTAGATGAGATGTATATGAGTGCATCTGCAGTAAAAGTCAGCAGTAAAAGTCAGCATCAGTGGGTTTAGTGGAACGTACATGAGGATTGCACACTTTGAAGACCAGAGAGTTCATGATTTCATCCTTATGAGTACTTTATCCGGTGGCCCAAGGTTACACAGAGCAGAAAGTAGCAGAGTCAGGATTCAACCCCCGATCCTATGATAGCTTCATGATCTGCTATGGCCAAAAAATTAATCACCTGATGATTGAGCAGCTTCGTGATAAAAAAACACTGGGTTTGGAGTTAAATAATTGAGTTTATACCCCTGGCTCTTTCATTGCTACCTGTGTAGCCTAGGGCTACAATTTTACTTTTCTGGGACTCAGTTACTTCATGTGTAAAATCAAAATTGGATTAGATGGTTTCTTTTTTTAAATTTTATTTTTTTATTCACGGAATAAAAAAAAGCATTTCCACAACATAGCACAATGAAAAAGATGATTGTACATGAAACTACAAATCCACCATGTTTGCTATTCCCTTCAAACATACAACAAAGTTATCATGTAAATTTCTTTTTTTTCCCTTCTTTTTTTCTTACCCTCCCCTCCCTGCCCCTCCCACCTCCTCCTAGAGATGGCCACCATTAAACACAAATAGATGTATATATGTAAAATTATTTTACACATATTTCTATTTATCAGTTCTTTCTCTGGATGCAGATAGTGTCTTTCTTAAGATCTCCTTTATAGTTAATTAGGGTATTTATAATCAAAATAACTTATTCACTCTAAATCATTCTTAAAGCAATATTACCATATACAATTGTGTGCAGTGTTTTCTTGGTTCTGCTCATTTTGCTCTTTGTTATTTCATGCAAATCTTTCCATGTTTTTCTAAGGTCATTGAGCTCATTATTTCTTATAGCACAGTAGTATTCTATCACAATCATAAACCACAACTTGTTCAGTCATTTCCCAGTTGATGGGCATCCCTGCAATTTCCGGTTCTTTGCTACCACAAAGAGAGATGCTATAAACATTTTAGAACATGTAGGTTCTTTTCCTTTTTACCTAGTCATCTTTGGAAATGGACCTAGTAGTGGTATTGCTGGGTCAAAGGGTATAGGCAGTTTAATGACTCTTTGAGTATAATTCCAGATTGCTCTATAAATTGGTTGGATCAGTTCACAATTCTACCAACAACGAATTAGTGTCCCGATTTTTCCATATCCATTCCAACATTTGTCACTTTCCCCTTCATTTTAGCCAATCTGGTAGGTGTGAAATGATATCTGAAAGTTGTTTTAATTTGCTTTTCTCTAATCAATAATGACTTAGAGCATTTTTTCGTATGACTATAAGTTGTTTTGATTTCTTCATTGGAAAACTGCCTGTTCATATCCTTTGGCTATTTATCAATTGGGGAATGACTATTTGACAAAGTTCTTTATATATTTGAGCTATGAGACCTTTATCTGAGAAACTGTCTATAAAATTTTTCCCCCCAGTTTTCTGCTTTCCTTTTGATCTTGGCAGTATTTGTTTTATTTACATAGAACCTTTTTAATTTATTGTAACCAAAATTATCCACTTAATGGATAATTAATTAATTAACTTCTCTGGGACTCAGTTTCTTCATGTCTAAAATGAAAGTTGGATTAAATGGCTTCTGAGGCCCCTTCCAGCTCTAAAACCATTTGATCCTATTATGTGCCTCCAAGTACTTAGCTAGTCTGGGCCTTGGAAGACATGCGTACTGTTTGTTTCAGAGTCCATTCTCTAGACCCTTTCCAATTTGATATAAGAACTACCAAAGCTTGTATTTTGTTGATGTAGCCTTTAATAACTCAGGGGCCCCACCAGACCATGAAGAGACAACAGAATAGGATTTAAGGGAAGGGATTACATGGAAGGTATAAGCGAGATACTTGGAGTGTACATGCCCAGTAATACTATCAGTAGGTTTTGGCTCACCATAGATTTCCTGGTGGAAAGAGACCTTTCTGACCTAAATTCTAAAGGAAAAGAGCTGGAGCAAAGGATGAAAGCGTCAAGGTTCATTTTCCTGGCTGAAGCTTCAGATATAAGTAGGATCATTTGCTTCTGTGGTGTGATTTGAGAGGAAAAGTGTCTTGTTATGTACTGAGAGAACACCTTCCTAAGAATACCTCCCCCACTGTTTAACCACAGTGCTTGAAATTCTCCCAGCAAGCATTCATTCTTTGGGGCTAAGATCTATCTCCAGGGGGCCCCGGTTAATAATGCAAATAAGGCTAGTAGGTAAGGCTGGCACAGTTAGGCAGCTCCCAATCAAACTAATCAACCCATCTAATCTGTCCTTGGAATAATGAAGCTTGAAAAATTTTGATTGAGCCATATATTCTGGTCCAGTGGGTCTGGAGATTTGGAATACTCACCAAGTATCAAGACAGGAGTAGGGATGGAATTAAGTAAATTTTGGAGCAAAATGGAGGAATTTCAGACTGAAATTGGTGTATGTAATATAATTTCATATCTAATATTTTAAAGGGGGAAAGTATGACTAACATTGAAAATTTTATAGAATTAGAATGCCAGGGTTTGGTGGAACCAGTGTGAAAAATGGTCCATGTAGGTATTGTCAGATATTGACACTAGCATGAATTAGTTTTAGGCATAGACACTGGAAAGGTAAGGTGAGGGGTTTTTTGGGTGATTTTTTTTTTGATGGGCAATCGAGGTTAAGTGACTTGCCCAGGGTCACACAGCTAGTAAGTGTTATGAGTCTGAGGCCGGATTTGAACTCAGGTTCTCCAGACTCCAAGGCCGGAGCTGTGTCCACTGTGCCACCTAGCTGCCCTTTTTGGGTGATTTTTACAATTATTATTTTTACAATTTTTTCCACTTAATAGTATTTTATTTTTTCCAATTACATGTAAAGATAGTTTTCAACATTC